TTTTGTACAGGGACCACCATTTAGATATGTAGGGGGTGTACGAGAGGATGTTCCATGTGATACGGATAGGTTGAATTCATTTATGATTATTGACTATGTTGCTAGACAAGGTTATGATCGAGTTTCAATTAAAGACATTTACTATATGCAACCTTGGATGGATATGCCAGATGGATTAGTTTCTTGTAATTCAGACAATGCAATTAGGGAGATGAATGATATAATTTCATATGCTGGCAATGTGGAGTTGTATGTAGACCATGACATCAATATACCTGAGATTGTTGAGGGTCCACTATTGCTCACAGGGGATGTTTCCAAAGATGAGGGTGACAATAGTGGTAGTGATGTTTCTGTGCATGGGGATGAGGGTAATTTAGGAAGTGAAAAAAGTAGTGATGTCGATAGTGGTAGTGATGATGTGTCAGTTATTGACTAAGAGACAAGTTCAGATGATAGTGCATGGTCATTGGGGAGTGACAAAACTGATGATGAGCAAGTCAGTATTGCTAAGTTGGCTCAAGAGGTTAGGAAGAGAAGGAGAAATGCCACAAGAAGTAGTAGCAAGAAGTCTAAGGCAGCTGTGCAAACTGCAACTAGGAATGAGCAAGAAGATGATCATGTTGAAGAACCTGTAGTGACTCAAGAGCAACCATCTGTCCAGCAACAATAGCAACTTGTAGTCATAGCTGATCAAGCTACTGTCCAAGAAGCTACTGTGACAGATGCTGCTGGTATAGAAGAAACTGCAACATGCAGTAGAGGTAGAAAAAGGAAATCTGTTGCTTAGCATCAAGTCAGACGAGGTGGTGGGGATAGGGTGAGAAGAGGTGATCCAATTAACAGCACACAGCAACTGCCTGTCAGTGATGACAGTGGTTCCTCTTCAGATGAAGAAGACAGGGAGTCTGATTATGCAGACAGTGATGATCCTGGTGCTTGGGAATTTCATTGGAATTCAGATGATGAGGATGACATCTTTGTGCAACCAGATCATGTTGTTAGCAGAAATGTCTGTCAAACCTACTATAACCCAAAATGGAAGGTCCCATATTTTGATATTGGGATGAGGTTCAAAGATGCAAAGCAATTCAAAACGGCAGTTTGTAAATACTCCATACAAAAGCAAGCTCAACTGCGAAAGGTTAGAAATGAACGTACTAGGGTGAGGTTTAGATGCCAAACAGGGTGCAAATGGGAGTTGTTTGCATCTTATGACAGCAGATATGAGTGTTTTGTGGTGAAGACATACTATGGGGAGCATAGATGCTTCAAATCTTATGACAATGAGCTTGTAACTTACAAGGTTGTAGCAAATCTTTTTAAAGGAAGGATTTATGAAGCACCATTTACAAAGCCAGCCGAGATTGTTAAGTGGTGCAAGAGTGAAATTAAAGTGAACATCACACTTGACAAGGCAGAAAAGGCAAAGAAGCATGTTATGACACAACTAGAGGGTAGCTATGTTGATGAATACAATTACTTGAAGAGCTACGCCAAAATATTGAGGGATAGCCATCCAGAGAATACTGTTGTTGTCACTGCCATTGAAACAAGTTCTAGTGATACTAGAACTTTCCATAGAATGTATGTATGTCTGCATTCCCTAAAGCAAGGTTGGAAGGATGGGTGCAGAAGGTTCTTTGGTGTTGATGGTTGTTTCTTGAAGGGAATATGTAAGGGAATTCTGCTATCTGCAGTTGGGAAGGATGGGAACAACCGGATGTTTCCAATTGCTTGGGCAGTAGTGGAGTCTGAATGTCTTGAGTCATGGCAATGGTTCTTTGAACTACTGAAAACTGATTTAGATCTTGGCACTGGTGCAGGCGTAACAGTTATGTCAGATGAACATCAGGTGAACACATCAGTAGCTTTTATTCGTTTATTTATATGCATTTATTATTTTTAATTATTAAAACTTTATGTTAATTGTTGTAAAATTACTCATTGTTGCTGTTATTGGTTTTAATTATTGGTATAGGCT